CTGGCAGTCAGTCCTTGCACTTTCCACACTGAAACCGAGTATGAACTCATACTTGACTTTCAACGAACGTTGTCGAGATCTCGGTCAGGTAAATGCAATATTCATAGTGATATGAGCAAACTAAATATCATTGTGAGAACGAGTACTCTAAAATCAGAGATCACAAGTATGAGTTTTGTGAAGACAACGAGTTTCGTGCGAATGAGCTTCATGAAAACGACGAGCTATGTGCAGATGAGCACAGAGAAGACGATCACCAAGAAGATGACTGTGAAGACGAGCATGAAACTCATCTTCCTCTCCTTCGACCAACTCACCACTCTTGAAGTTAACTCCTCCTGCTAACGCTCCTCGTCAACTTTCTTCTTCTCCTACCTCGATTTCCCGACTGACCACACTCAAACTATTACTTGGTCCTTCGTCTGATTTCAATGGAAACCTACAGAACCAATATTATCATAGTCTCACAAGAAAGAACGAAACCCACAGGATAGACATTTTCCTAGTTTCAAAGGAAAGGGTAAAACCCCAAAACGCCTCTATATAACACACCCTTCCTTGATTATTCCAAACTTATTATCTTACTTCGGCGAGGCAGGCCACCGAAGGGTGTTGCGTCTCGCTTGCATGCCTTACATATTGGGCGAAGGACTTATCGGACGAATCTTTTCACAAAATCCCTTGTTATAACGGATCCATCCAACACCCCCCTCACCAAATTGGAGTCTGACCATGCCTTGGCCGACCAAGGCGTGTCGATTGATTCAGGGCCTATCATCCTCTGGCTCTGCATTGAAACGATTTTATAAGTCATGTCTTTAGCGCGTGGATGAAGCTCAGTCTCTTATGAAAGTGGTCATGCAAAAGTTTCATCCCTCCTCCCACCCACCCCCTTTTTACAATGGGCTCCGTTAGCTATACCTAATCAAATAATGAAGCAAAGAAAACCCGACCAAAATTAACATTAACCAACGTAAAATAAGAAAGAAAATATATAGGATCATGACTATTGTGAACTAAAGTGTCTGTTTGGTATGATTGACCGAGGTGTTATAAACCAACTTATTTGACAATGGTCGGTTTCATAACCTATATATTACATGCGATATTAGAGACGCCTCAGTTGAACGACATATGTTATGTCGAACCATATGTCATAGTGATAGTTGATCATAGCATTAACGCATGTGTGTTCATGCATGCTACAATCCTAATAAACCAAAATCGTTACTAACTTTACTCTCTCATGCAAACTTACAGATTAGGTTGTAGGTCGTCATGTTCCAAAGCAATTCGACCACCTACTACTACTGCAATAAGATGCACTCACACTAACACAAGCCTCACTCACTCCCTTCGCTTCGGCTACAATCATTGAGGCCCGTTACACGCATAAGTTGACACACAAACGCTTTTACGGAGACACATTGTTTCAGCTTGCATAAATACTAGCAAATACATTTTTAAGAGTATTCGCTACAACAACATTTTCATGAAAATTTTGATAAAAATTAAAACAAATTTCCGTTTGGTGTTCTCTATTATATAAGAGTCCGCCGTTCTTAATTTTGGTGAAGGTTATACAAACGTGTTATTGAAAAAAAAAATGATGCGCGAAATATAATCATTCTTTAATTATCATGTGTACCAAGGTGGAATACATAATATATATATGCCACCACCACGTTGGTGGATTACGATTTTTCAATTTGTTTGTTCATCACACATGAAAAAACATAGTTATTTCAAACCTTTGTGTTTCTTTTGTCTATACTCATGCTTGTCGATTGATAGTGCATCGGGATGAATACGTGAGGAACTTGTGGACCCAAGCATTACACAAAGAGGAGTCTATGCAATTTAATTTTAAGAGACTATGATGAAATCGTTGACCCAAACATTACGCAAAGAGGAGTCTATGCAATTTACTTTTCAGAGATTGTGATGAAATCATTGACCCAACCATTACATAAAAAAAAGTTTATGTAGTTAACGAAAGAGGTGTTTGATTGTTTGAAATGTTGTGATCGGCATATCTGGTGGTATGTAAAATGAGTGAAGACGAATAATTGTTGCACCGTGTTCATCTTGAGGATCATAAATGTATAACTAAGCAAATGTTGGTTAACAGTCAGGTTGGGGGATAAGAGGGTTAAAATTTTGTTGCACTTGTCCTTTGATTTGCAGCATGTCTGCTCAATCATAAAGAAGGAATATTGTTTCTTTTACAATATGAAATGTGAGTGCAAGTACGTTGTTAAATTGACATGCTTATAAACGTAACAGTTTTCTCTGACTATTGTTGGTTTCTCATAGGCAAAGGATTTCCTCTGCAGGTGTTCGGGGTGGAGGATATGGCCACAACGGTGGTTAAACTTTCCTTATTGACAACCTAAGGAAGTCTAATTATTCTCGTTTTGCCATTTACGTGTTCCACAGTATGTGCAGAGTGTTTTATTTCCAAACACGACGATGTCCATTATAAGTTGGTGGACGATAAGTGCAGCAGCATAAAGACGCATGGTGTTAATGTGTGGTTGGATATTTTCAGTGTATGTATGTTTATGACGTTGCTGATTTAGTCGACGCTGATGGCGTGCTCTTTCTCCAATAGTACGTGAAGGTTCAACTATGAGCTAGAGAATAACAACATGGATAACATAAAAGTAAAGACAAAAAAAATAAAAATAAAAAATAAAATTGTTGCAATGAAGAAAATGTGTGTGTGTGTGTGTGTGTGTGTGTGTGTGTGTGTGTGTGTGTG